TTATACTGCGTCAAAGGCCACTACAGCAGCTGGAGAGGAATGCTACCACAGCTACCATCACACAGGGTAAGACAAAAATTCCTTACCAAGCATTTAAAACGTATGTAGAAGCAGAGGAGGATATAGATGCTTTTCTCCAAGACTTTGAAAGGCTGTGTGCATTGCATAGTATTGCATAGCATTGCATAGTATTAGCCCAGACGAGTGGGTGCCTATTTTAGCAGGGAAGCTCACAGGGAAGGCTGCTGAAGCCTATAGAACTGTACCTGATGAGGAAATTCGAAATTACAGCAGAGTAAAAGAGGTGATCCTGGCCCGATATGCAATCACGCCAGAGGCATATCGGAGGCGGTTTAGAGACCTAAAGAGAAATGATACATCGGGCCGCCCTGGGGTGGGTACAGTCCAATAAGGCTCGGTCCATGGAGGACTCATTACAAATGGTGTTGTTGGAGCAATTTTATGAGGGGGTAACCAGCGATGTCCAGGAATGGGTGAGGGACCGAAACCCTACCTCCCTCACCGAAGCTGCCAGGAAGGCAGATGAGTACCTGGATGCACGCAGGCAGCAGAAACCTGCAGCCCCAAAAGCCACCTTTAAAACATTTGAGGGAAACAGCTACAACCCAGCTCCACCGAGACAACTGCCACCACCACCACGGCCCGCTGCACAGCCACGTTTTCGCCAGCCCACTTCTGGCCCCTGTCATCACTGCCAGAAATGGGGACATTATAAAAGGGAATGTCCCCAGCTGAGGGATCGTTCCACCTGGATTCGCCCCGGCCCACCACCACCGCCAAGAGCAGCCGCAGCCCACCACTACCAGGATATAGTGGCCACACCATATTGTTCAGCCGTTCCCATAACAACCGTGGAACAGTGGGAAGTACTGCACGAGGCGGATCCAGTCCAGGCCAATGCTGATAACAGACAACATCACAGGCAGACCGTATACCTGGAGGGTAAAGCGGTACAAGGACTACGCGACTCAGGGGCTACTATCACCCTGGTAAAAAGTCACCTGGTGTCGGATCAAGCGAAACTGAGTAAAACTGTGGCCGTCAGGGTAGCTGGGGGAGCAGTGTACCGGCTACCTACAGCAAGGGTACTTTTACATTGGGGAGCGGGGGCAGGGCATGTGGAGGTGGGGTTGATGCCGCAGTTAATGGCGGAGGTATTGTTGGGGAACGATCTGGGGAGGCTCACGTCTGCTTTTGAGCCCCAGACACCCACCACAGGAGAAGCTCATCCTGTGGTCACCCGTCAACAGGCCCGCACCCAGGACTACAACACACTTCCGGAGGTTCAGGTAAGAGACCCTTCCCCTTCCCTTGACTGTGTTCCCTGGGCCCCCCCTAATGAATTTGCAGCTGAAGAAGTGACTGACCCCACCTTACAGGTGTATAGGGACAAGGTGACAGCAGACGCTCCTGGGGGAGATGGCGAAAGGTTTATCTGGGACAAACAGTTGTTATACAGGGAGACAGATAAGCAGGTAGCCGGGTCAGACCCGATCGTGACGAGACAGTTAGTGGTACCCCAGCGGTACCGGGCTGAGCTACTCTGGATAGCGCATGACATTCCGCTATCCGGGCATTTAGGGGTCAGCAGGACCCGGCACAGGTTAACGCAGAGTTTTTTTTGGCCTGGAATTAGCCAGGAAGTGCGCAGGTACTGCAACACTTGCGATACATGCCAAAGGGTGGGGAAAAGGGGGGACCGGCGCAAGGCCAAGCTACACCCTCTTCCCATAATTGAGGAACCCTTTAGTAGGGTAGCAGTCGACCTAATAGGACCCCTCAACAAAGCGAGCCCGTCAGGCAAAAGATTTATCCTGACAGTGGTAGATTATGCCCAGGGCCGGATTAAGAGCATAGTGGGCCTGGTGCTGACAATTATGATGGGCCTTATTACAGAATCTTATCGACCAAAAACAATAAAACAGTCATACCTCCCAAGCGTCATGTATCTGATGGAGATGGTGCTGGATGGAAACTCATAGGATGCAGCTATAAGAAAACACATACGCTATGCTAATTTCTCTCTAATTTATGCTTTCATCTTTCAAGTAAATCCATAACCCCTAACAGCAGTGTCCAGTGAAGCAGGAAGTCAATTGGCGGGGTAAAAGGGTGTGCCACTGGCGCGAATCACGTGACAAGACCTGCCAAAAGGGGTGAACATGCCCAAAAAGGGGGCATGTTTGTCCAAAGAATTGGAAGGTCAGCCTGGCATGAATGCATGTCAGGCTGCCTGCCAATCCTGCAGGCTGTCCAACTAAGGGCATACAATGCAGGCAGCACCTTGAGCTTGACATAAATGCGTCTAATGATGCGCTCACTCCATTCTTTCTAAGGACTGTCCCCTAGCACTCGCTGGTCCACTTGTCTCCTTACCTTCTTACTAGCAGGCAGAAGTTCCTGGTATATAGTCTGAAACAGAGAAAAGGTGTATGTAGTGAGTGTAGAAGAAAGGGGACATGCCACAGTGTTAGAGATACCAGCGTCTGCATTACCTAAACTAACTTTAATGTCAGCCAGTGCACACAAGTTTTGTTCCCATACATCCCTCTTAAGCTTCCAAACTTAAAAGGACACTATAGTCACCAGAACAACTACAGCTTATTGTATTTGTTCTGGTAAGTAGAATCATTCCATTCAGGCTTTTTGCAGTAAACACTGTCTTTTCAGAGAAAATAACTCCACTGGCTGCTCCTTAGATGGCTGCTAGAGGTGCTTCCTAGGGCTGTACTGCCTAGTGCGCAGCACTGCCATTCAGTGTCTCCACCCTCTGCATGCAGACACTGAACTTTCCTCATAGAGATGCATTGATTCAATTTATCTTTATGAGGAGATGCTGATTGGCCAGGGCTGTGTTGGACTGACTCTGCCCCTGATCTGCCTAGGTGACAGTCTCAGCCAGTCCTATGGGGAAGTATTGTAATTTGCTCAGACCACCACTTCTGAGCCAGCAGCTGCAGAATTGAATACAAGTAATATTTTACTATATTTAGGGAGGCAAGAAGGGGCCAGGGTGGTGGTTTTAACATAATAGGGTAAGAAATACATGATTCTGTTCCTGACACTATAGTGCTCCTTTAAGCAAGAGTATGTGAATAGTAGTTAAGGTCTGTGTCCCCATGTGTCCTAGTGTCTCAGTGTCCCCTAGTGTCTGTGTTCCCATGTGTCCCCTAGTATCTGTGTTCCCTAGTGTCTGTGTCCCCATGTCACCAAGTGTCTCAGTGACCCCATGTTTTCCAGTGTCCCCAAGTGTCTCAGTGTTCCCAGGTCTCCCAGTGTCTGTGTCCTAGTGTCTCAGTGTCCCCTAGTGTATGTGTCATCATGTGTCCCCTAGTGTCTCAGTGTCAGTGTCCCCTAGTGTCTCAGTGTCCCCTAGTGCCTCAGTGTCCCCATGTGTCCCTGCTGCCTTTCCCCCCATCCCTCACTTACCTGAGCTGTAGAGCTGTTGTCTGGACTCTGTGCTGTGTTGCTGCTCCCCCACGGATCAGTAAGTAGTAGAGAGAGGCAGGGATATTCTGTAACTTAGTATGCCTGCCTCTCTCTATACACAGTGACCCCTACTGGCCGTTGCTGGTATTGCAGAGTAATCTCTGTTTATACTGAGACTAATATTTGCATTTGTATTGCCAGTATTACTGCAATACCGTCACGGCCAGGCAGCCTCAAATACTGGCTGTGCCTTAAAATACCAGTCAGGTGGCAAACCTAAGAGTAGTGTGTAAATGGGCCTATTCCATGGGCCTGGGCCTGGGCCTGGAGCTGCAGCTCCATCAGCCCCTATGTTAATCCGGCCCTGATTATGCCACTAGATATCCAGAGGCAGTGGCCCTGACGAATATACAGGCTGAAACCGTAGCGGAAGCCCTTATGCAGATATTCTCCCGGGTGGGACTTCCCAGGGAGATTGTCTCTGATCAGGGTACCCAGTTCACGGCCGAAGTCACGCAGCGCCTCTGGAAGTTCTGTGACATTAAGCCTGTCATTAGTTCCCCTTACCACCCCCAGACGAATGGGCTCTGCGAACGTTTCAACGGTACATTGAAACAAATGCTCAGAACCTTCGCAGAGACCCACAAGGACTGGGAGAAATTCCTGCCTCACCTCCTCTTTGCTTACAGGGAGGTACCGCAGGAATCCACTGGGTTTTCCCCATTTGAATTATTGTTTGGCCGCAGGGTACGAGGGCCTTTAGATTTAATCAGAGAGCATTGGGAGGGAGAACGGAGCACTGATGGTACCCCCATCATACCATACGTGTTGGCATTCCGAGACCGCCTGGAGGCCTTAACCCAGACGGTACGCGAGAATTTGCAGGCGGCTCAGACACGCCAATGCACATGGTATGATCGGGGCGCCAGGGACCGTAGCTTTCAGGTCGGGCAGAAAGTATTGATTTTAAAACCTGTCCGACACGATAAGCTACAGGCCGCCTGGCAAGGCCCTTATAGGGTGGTAGAACAACGGTGTGACACCACTTATATAATAGGCTCGTGCGTTGGTACTGGGGGGGCGACGCATGCTCCATGTGAACATGATGAAGCCCTACCAGGAGCGCTCTGAGGAAGTGACCGCCATATGCGCGCCTAACTCAGAGGAGTTTGACAGTCTGCCTCTCCCAGATCTGCTGGGAGAGGGTCAGCTATCTGGGGACTTAGGGGAAGTCACCCTGGGGGACCGGTTGAGCCCACAGGAGCGGAGCGAGGTACAACAGCTGTTGAGGGAGAAGCAGGATATCTTCTCTAATGTACCTGGTTACACTCCTCTGGCCACTCACCGAGTAGACACCCCAGGGCAACTCCCCATGCGTCAGACCCCGTACCGCATCCCAGAAGCGGTACGGGAGAACATGCACAAGGAGATCGATGAGATGCTCCAGCTGGGGGTGATTGAGCCCTCTGACAGCCCCTGGGCGTCCCCGGTAGTGCTAGTACCAAAACGGGACGGCACGACCCGTTTTTGTGTAGACTACCGGAGACTGAATGAGAAGACGGTATCTGACGCCTATCCCATGCCCAGGATAGACGAACTACTGGACCGGATGGCGAGGGGGCACTATCTCACCACTATTGACTTGTGTAAGGGGTATTGGCAAATCCCCTTAGCACAAGACGCCATCCCTAAGTCGGCCTTTGTCACCCCATTCGGCTTGTACCAATTTAAGGTCATGCCGTTTGGGATGAAAAACGCCCCGGCTACCTTTCAGCTGTTGGTGGACCGCCTCCTGGATGGGTTCCAAGATTATACCTGCGCTTACCTCAATGATATTGCCATTTTCAGCAATACCTGGCAGGAACATTTGACCCATATAGTAGCGGTCCTAGACAGGATTAGGGCCGCTGGTTTAACGCTGAAACCAGCCAAATGCAGCATAGGAATGGCTGAAGTACAATACCTCGGCCATCGGGTAGGATGCGGCAAACAGAAGCCAGAACCAGCCAAAGTAGAGGCTGTAGCTCAATGGCCTACCCCTAGGACTAATACTCAGGTATTAGCGTTCCTAGGAAGGCCGGGTACTACCGGAAATTTGTCCCGTACTATAGTGCCCTGGCCAAACCCCTCACTGACTTAACCCGTAAAAGCCTTCCCCGCCAAGTGACCTGGACCCCGGAGTGTGAGCAGGCATTTCAGCTGTTGAAAGATGCATTGACCAATGCCCCTGTCTTGGCAGCTCCCAATCCAACTAAACGTTTTCTTGTCCACACAGACGCTTCTATGTTTGGATTGGGAGCAGTACTGAGCCAAGTCGGGCCGATGGCAGAGAACATCCCGTGGCTTACATTAGCCGGAAGCTGTTACCTCGAGAAATAAGCTACGCCACCATCGAAAAGGAATGCCTGGCTGTGGTGTGGGCCAAGAAGAAATTACAGCCGTATTTGTATGGGCAAGCTTTTTCCCTGCTCACGGATCACAACCCGTTAGTATGGCTAAACCGGGTGGCTGGGGACAATGCCAGGCTGCTGCGCTGGAGTCTGGCGCTGCAGCCCTTTGACTTTAATATCCAGTACTGCCCGGGTAAACAGAATGGAAACGCTGACGGGTTGTCAAGACAAACTGACCTAGAGAAATGATCCGTGTGCCTCCCCGGACATCCCCAAGCCGATCTGTGTTGGATCAGACTGTGTATGCCGGCTTGTGGGCAAGGGGGAGCAGAATGTAGCGGAGAGGCAATATTCCCCAGATTATCTCCGCTTATAATCCAAGTGAGGCTCAGGAACAAGGAAATAATAAATCCACAGGCAAGGTTTCCAGCAGGTAAAATAACAGCAATATCCCCACAGCAATCCCAATAACTGGACGACACACAGTTTCAGGAGCAGAACTGAAATCTTTAATCCACACTGTCCTTTTAAAGCATGCTCCCATGCAAGGGAGGGATTTACAATCATTAGTACAGTAGCCAATTCTGTCCTGGTAACCTCCCACACATCTCCTCCCCTCAGCCTGCATCATAATCCCCTTAATCCAGTCTAGCAATTCCCCCCGTTTCTGGATGTACCCCTAAACGTAAAAATCCTACATCCCCTGATAGCCCTGATCTGGGTGAGCAACATATCCAAAAATCACCCAGATCAGACCAGGGGTTCGGAAAATGTATGGAGGGAATAAAATGACCGACCACACTGACCGAGATAGCCGAATGCGGTTCCATGCGAATGGGCCCTGCGGTCGGTCCTGGAATAAGGGAACAAATTGCACGAAATCCTTTAGCTATAGAGACTAGGGAGGGTTCGCCTGAATCCCCTCGTTCGGTTCTTTCTATCTACCGAACGAGGGGCCGTTCGGTAGTTAGGAACCGAACGGACCGGGCTTGTGGAGGATTCAGCGGTGTTCACCTAGTCGAGTGTCCGATTTGAGTTCCAGACACTCGACGTCAAAACACCGCTGTTCGGAGTTTTAAAATGGCCGCCGCCACGTGTTCGTTTGTCGAATGGCGGCCACCCCCGAGAACAAAGGACGGCTACTTAACTTGTCAATTACCCGTTCGCAACAATGTTGCAACGGGTAATTGAGGACACACTTTACACAGGGGAGGTCTGATTGTTCGGTAGTTTCATTCCCTTAGTTTATTCGAATGATTCTACCGAACAATCAGAGGAATACAATTCATTTAAACACATATAACAACAGCAGATCACACGAATGCAGTTATTCACAATACATTTGCAGGACAGCCCAGTGCCATCCGCTACAGACACTGCAGGGTATTACAGAAAATTTGTCCCTGAGTATAGCGCCCTGGCTAAACCCCTTACTGACTTAACTAAGAAGCCATTGCCCAAAAAAATATTGTGGTCCCCTGAGTGTGCAACAACCTTTCAGAGACTTAAAATGGCCCTGAGAAAGGCATTATACTAGATTATACTAGTTACAGACTTTCATTGTATATGAATGGTCACTCCATATGGTTGACATTAAGAATGATGGATGAAGGCCTGTTGATAGTAACCTTTGACCTAAGCTTTGCAAGCCAGTCTCCCTCTGTATTACCAAGGCTCAGATTTCTAAATGTGTTAGTGTGTGTGTGTGATTCAGTTAACCATGTACAGTATATGGAACTTCTTTTGTGTAACTTCTATTTTACCACCTAAATATAACGTATGGCTTTAATTGTAGATTTCAAATGATGCTGCGTCACTACCCTTTTTCTAAGATAGACACTAATTTTAAAGTAAAGCAACCTTATGTATACGCCCCTATATAACTGAATTTTAAACCTATAAAACTGATTGTAGCGAAGATTTTATTGCCAATACCTTTAACATCAAAAATGGATACCATCTTGAACATTGCTCTGTATTGGTCAAAGACATTCACAGACGTTTGCATTGACGTATGTTATTACCGGATGATGTGTATGTTTGAATAAATATGTTTTAGCTGCCAGACACTCTGATTTGATTTGTTTAGAAAATTGGTGTGTGACAAACAAACATCTCAGGAAAAGCTAATTTCCTACAAGAACCTACTAAAAACTTTCTCATCCATATAGATCCCTCAATGTTTGGGCTGGAAGCCGTGCTAAGCCAAGTGGGGGATAATGGAATGGAGCACCCGGTGGCATATCTCAGCTGTAAACTACTACCCCGGGAAGTCAGCTATGCCACCGTGGAGAAGAAATGCCTGGCTCTGGTATGGGCATTAAAGAAACTCCAACCCTATTGTATAAGGGTGTGCACCCTGAAGCACAAACATACATGCCGCGTATATATATATATATAACTTCCACAAGAAAAGGCTGCTCTCCGGACTTAAAATCAAAGATTTTATTGAAAATGTTTAAAAATGATGACCAACGTTTCGGTCCCCGATCGGGACCTTCCTCAGGGTCAGAGACAACAGGACAACAATAAACAGTATACAAAGTGACAATATATACCATTACATTAAGTGAAATAACTCACCCAGGTGTTCTATTCTCATTTCCCGCCGGCACCCAGTGAATTTCCGGGTATGCGCGCGCACGTCAATACGTGCTCCGCCCCTTCATCATGCTATGTTACGTGCCGACGTACTCCCGGTCAAATAGACCGGTCTCCTTAGCAACCATGTATACAAAGACCCCTCTTACAACAAGAGGAGTCTATACCAGGATAGAGAATAGGGTGGAAAAAATTAATGCCATATATAAGTAATATAAGTGCTTATTTTAAAACAAATCTTGTAATGGGCTCATTGTGTATCATATATCATATATCCCTAACCACAAGAACACCTAGTGAACCTAGGTGAGTGACACTTCATTAAAGTGATAATAAAGCCACTAAAATTTGACCAATCGGTGTATGAGCCCTAGTTATAGTTAAATGTGAAATTGCACTCATCAGTGAATCGAAGAAATTCATATATAAAATTCTTTAAAGTGATAGCATGCATATAATAAAGTGCATTATGAGTGCACATAAGCAACATATGTGTAATCAAATATATCATACATATAAAAACACTTTGGCATAATTATAGACACACTGCTCCTGAGAAATTCATTAAACATAAAAATATTTAAAAACAATAGTAACAAGCTGGTTGGACCTATATAAAAGAATGATACGTGATGCTCTCATTAAGACCCATGGGAGATATTGTATTTAGTTGGTGTATCCAAAAAGCCTCTTTCTGAAGTAACATCTTATCCCTATTACCCCCCCTGCGGGGAAGGGGTATATGATCAATACCCACAAATTTAAGGGATGCTAAGGGATGCTTTTTATCAAGAAAGTGCCGAGCAACTGGCTTATCAGACTGGCCATCCCTGTACGCTAATCTTATACTCGAGCGGTAGCCCCTAATCCTCTCACACAGAGGTGTTTCTGTCTTTCCTACGTAATAGAGGCCACACGGACACACCAATTTATATACAACAAAGGGGGTTTTACAAGTAATAGTGTGTCTTATATCATATATTTTATTAGTATGTGGGTGATTAAATTTAAAAAAGTGTGGACTTGGACTTACATGGTTTATTTCTATCCGACTATTATAAGGCTAAAATGATTCCACGTGGGTTTAGATTACTAAATATACCAACTATTGGAAGACTTAAAGCAGCTGTATGTAGGGATTGGACACACGTTTTAAACAAAGCTTCTTTGGACCTTATGCTTATAACCATTAAAGATGTAAAAACTGATTTAACAGAGGTTAAACAGAAAATTATTGCGTTGGAGACTGAACAAGCAGTTCTATTGGCTTCAGCTGATGGAGTGAAATTGCAACAACAACTAAAAGTGGAACTTCTGAAATATAAAAATGAATTAGTGAGATTAAAAAACAGAAGTACGAGAGGGTTCAACAAGATTACCAAGACCACCGTGTATATAGATGGTTATCGGGTGAACGCCCTCCCAGACCAAGGAGGTTCCGTAAAAGAATTATCCGACCAAAGGTTACAACTATTGATATAACCTCTGGGGAATCAGCTTCAGAGAATGAAATTCCCAATGATACAGCAACTTTTTTAGGTCACATGGAACAAGGCACAGTCACCAGGAGCAAAGTCAGGAGCGACGAAGATATAGGAATAGGAGAGGGCGCAAGGGTAAAAACAGTATTAAGGGGCAAACCCCCTCAACGGAAATAACCCCCATCTTTAACCTTTCCCATAGACAACTCAGTGAAACAGAAGTTAACATTCTTAGTAAGGGTCTATCATATGTCCCTACAAGTTTTATTAACCCCTTTAAATGGAGTACTGAGTTGTTTCATTTTGGAAGAAATATGAGGCTTAAAGAGTTTTTCCACACTATGGATAAAGACAAACCACAATCAACTTGCACGGGGTTAGAGAAATTTAAGAATAAATCTACATTTGACCCACAAACTACCAAATCTTCAATTAAAACTTTTTTGACAACAATGTCCAAGATGACACAGAATACTGGTGTCCAGCAACATGAAAGATCACAAAATATAACTAAGAAAGAACGACAATTGATTGATAACCTAGCTAAGGACCCTTCTATAGTGATCCGCTCGGTGGATAAGGGAGGAGGTATCGTACTTATGAACTATACTGATTATGCAGATGACCTTAAACAACAATTACAGGATTTGAACACCTATTGTATGTTACCAAGGGATCCTACACTCGAAATTCAGAGGAAAATCAGTGATGTATTAGAGATGGGACTTAGGGCTGATTATATCAGTCTTGATCTATTTCAGTTTTTGAATAAACAACATCCCCGCACTCCAATTATTTATAGTATACCCAAGATTCATAAAGATCCAGAAAGACCTCCTGGCCGTCCCATTGTTTCAGCTATTGGGGGGATTTTAGAACCCATAGCACAATGGTTAGATTTTGTTTTTAAAGGACCAGTTGAGGCACTGAGTACATGTATTAAGGATACACAAATGCTCTTGAGTAGAATTAAGTCCTTGGAGTTCCATGGAAGGGTTCCAATATTCATTACTATGGATGTCAAGAGCCTGTACACAGTCATCCCTCATATTGGAGGTATTGAGGCGATGCGACAGGTGTTATGTGAGTCTTCGATGTACCATGGTCCACCGATAGAATTTATTCTGGAGCTTTTGTCGTTGATCCTTCATAACAATCATTTTAGATTTGAGGATCGGTGGTACTTACAAGTGGCGGGAACATCTATGGGGTCAGCCATGGCCCCTATGTATGCCAATGCGTACATGTATGCATATGAAACACAGCATATATTGACCACATATAAGAATAACATTATTGGATATTATCGTTATATAGACGACCTGTTGATCATCTGGCGAGGCTCACAAACGGAGGCACATATGATGGTGGAGGAGTTAAATTTGTTGCCAACTCCTATCAAGTTTACAGCCAATATCAGTGAGGAAAGTGTCCAATACCTGGACTTAGAACTTTCCTATGGAGATAATAGAGTCCAATACACATTATTTTCGAAACAGACTGATCGGAATACTCTTTTACACGCTAGGAGTGCACATCCCATTTCGTTGAAAAAATCTATTCCTAAAGCACAATTCCAGCGAGTCATTCGCAATAATTCTGATATAAATAAGGCTGAGTTACAATTGAAAATCATGACCCAGAAGTTTTTGAACAGAGGTTATAACATTCAGGTACTAGAAGAAGCACTGTTGAAGGCAAAATTGGCCCCGGTGCAAACAAAGACGGATCCTGTACAAAAAATAGTATTTCCAATGACGTTTCATAATTCTTCTAATTTGATTTCAACAATTGTTAAAGACAATTGGAAAATGATTGCTACGGATGACACCCTGCCAAAGATTTTTAAAGAGACTCCGTTAATTTGCTACAGGAGAAATAAGAGTCTTAAGGACATGCTAGTGCGCACAGACCCTGTGGAAAGTTATTCTAAAACAGTCAAGCACAATATACGGGGAAGCATACGATGTCTGGGGTGTATTACTTGTGGAAATATGATTCCAGCAAAGAAATTTAATCACCCACATACTAATAAAATATATGATATAAGACACACTATTACTTGTAAAACCCCCTTTGTTGTATATAAATTGGTGTGTCCGTGTGGCCTCTATTACGTAGGAAAGACAGAAACACCTCTGTGTGAGAGGATTAGGGGCTACCGCTCGAGTATAAGATTAGCGTACAGGGATGGCCAGTCTGATAAGCCAGTTGCTCGGCACTTTCTTGATAAAAAGCATCCCTTAGCATCCCTTAAATTTGTGGGTATTGATCATATACCCCTTCCCCGCAGGGGGGGTAATAGGGGGAAGATGTTACTTCAGAAAGAGGCTTTTTGGATACACCAACTAAATACAATATCTCCCATGGGTCTTAATGAGAGCATCACGTATCATTCTTTTATATAGGTCCAACCAGCTTGTTACTATTGTTTTTAAATATTTTTATGTTTAATGAATTTCTCAGGAGCAGTGTGTCTATAATTATGCCAAAGTGTTTTTATATGTATGATATATTTGATTACACATATGTTGCTTATGTGCACTCATAATGCACTTTATTATATGCATGCTATCACTTTAAAGAATTTTATATATGAATTTCTTCGATTCACTGATGAGTGCAATTTCACATTTAACTATAACTAGGGCTCATACACCGATTGGTCAAATTTTAGTGGCTTTATTATCACTTTAATGAAGTGTCACTCACCTAGGTTCACTAGGTGTTCTTGTGGTTAGGGATATATGATATATGATACACAATGAGCCCATTACAAGATTTGTTTTAAAATAAGCACTTATATTACTTATATATGGCATTAATTTTTTCCACCCTATTCTCTATCCTGGTATAGACTCCTCTTGTTGTAAGAGGGGTCTTTGTATACATGGTTGCTAAGGAGACCGGTCTATTTGACCGGGAGTACGTCGGCACGTAACATAGCATGATGAAGGGGCGGAGCACGTATTGACGTGCGCGCGCATACCCGGAAATTCACTGGGTGCCGGCGGGAAATGAGAATAGAACACCTGGGTGAGTTATTTCACTTAATGTAATGGTATATATTGTCACTTTGTATACTGTTTATTGTTGTCCTGTTGTCTCTGACCCTGAGGAAGGTCCCGATCGGGGACCGAAACGTTGGTCATCATTTTTAAACATTTTCAATAAAATCTTTGATTTTAAGTCCGGAGAGCAGCCTTTTCTTGTGGAAGTTATACCTATTGGAGCTTTGGTGATGCGCCCGGCATTTGGAATACTTCAAGCGTGAGTGCAGGGGATGTTGATATTTTTTTTATATATATATATATATACACACACACACACACACACACATATATATACTGTGTGTGTATGTGTGTAAGGGTGCTGTGTGTAGGTGCTGTGTGTGTGTGGGTGCTGTGTGTGTGTGCGTGGGCGCTGTGTGTGTGTGTGCAGGCGCTGTGTGTGGGCGCTGTGTGTGTGTGTGGGTGCTGTGTGTGAGGGCGCTGTGTGTGTGTGAGGGTGCTGTATGTGTGTGTGTGGGTGCTGTATGTGTGTGTAAGGGTGCTGTATGTGTGTGTAAGGGTGATGTATGTGTGTATAAGGGTGCTGTATGTGTGTGTGTGATGTTAGTGTGTGTGTGTGTGTATGTAAGGGTGCTGTGTGTGTAAGGGTGCTGTTAGTGTGTGTGTGTGTGTGTGAGGGTGCTGTATGTGTAAGGGTGCTGTGTATGTAAGGGTGATGTATGTGTGTGTAAGGGTGCTGTGTGTGTGTGATGTTAGTGTGTGTGTGTGTAAGGGTGCTGTGTGTGTGTGATGTTAGCGTGTGTGTGTAAGGGTGCTGTTAGTGTGTGTTTGAGTGCTGTGTGTGTGTGTGCTGTATGTGTGACGAGAGCAATCTCGCCAAATTGCATTGGAGAAGCCTGGCTGCCCGCCTGCTACCTTTGGACTATGGACCAGACTTTATGTAAATGTGTTAACCCAGATAGCTATGCCATGGAGCCCATTCGTGTAGTTAAAGACTTCGGCTCCATGGCAATTGAACTGTGTGAATAGGATCTGAGCGCTATCCGGTAGTTTTGTGCGCTCAGATCGCAGCTATCTGGGGATATGTGAAATGTCTGTGTGTTATGTGTAAAAGGTGACTTTATGTATTTTAAAGTGTTTTATGTCTTTTTGCAACCATATCCTCTATCCCTGGATAATTGGATTACTTTCCCCATTGTCTCCAGAATAGAGGGCTCTGTAAAACCTGTTTTAGCCAGATAGCCATGTGCCAGCCAGGGCCCAAAAGATACTTTTACTAACTTTTGAACCCCTGGTCTGATTCATGCCATTTTTTAATATGTTGTTCCCCTGAATGGATTGATTGTGAATATGTAATTTTATGTGGATGTGATGTATGGTTTTAGAGTTATGAAAGTTGGGTAGAAAGTATGTTTTAACTTATGCGTAATTGAGTTTCCTCTCAGGATAAGGGGAGGGAATATGTGGGATGTAACTGATATGTGATTGGTTGTTTTATACCTCCCTGTGGGCGGTCCTGTATTTGAAAAGACTGTAATAAAAACCAGGCTGGGTGTGCCAGCACCTCAGACCACTGCTTGACCCTCAACACGGAGCCTTGTCTCGTTCTTGGGGGGATTCACTGTATGCTGTTAGAGACTGATTGCCAGGAGTGTAAGTTGATTGTCTGCTTTTCCTGTTCGTCTGCTAGCAGCTATTTGGGAGGTTCCAGTTCGGGAGTTGGAGTGCTATTTTGTATCCAGTTCGGGAGTTTGGTGTTCTGCAGTAGCTGTGCCTGTATCTCTGGAAGGGGAAGCTCTCCTAAACGGCTGTTAACCGCTTTTTACCCCTTTTGTGCAAAACGGTCCGTTACAATTGGTGGCAAGCAGCGGGATCGTTCCTACAGCCAGAAGGACAGCTACAGGAGACACCATTTCTTTGGATTTACAAGTTAAGGGCAACGCATGTCCTAGTACAGCGACCCTGACAGCACCAGGATGGAACCAGCAGTGGAGTACAGCTACTCTATGAGAGAGTATGACCGGATGGTGTGGTTTCACCTAAGCTTCTTCGGATCCAACCCACTGGAGAGATCGGTGCGGTTCGTGAGGAACCTAGTGTTCGAGAGGCTGCAACAGCGGGCAGAAAGAGAAGGTCAGTTGGCACGTTGGGAAAAACTCCAGCGGCAGATGCAGCAGGGAATTGGGAGCCCATTCTCCACTCCCCAGCGGCAGTGTGATATGCTGGGAATTGGGAGCCCAGTCTCCATTCCCCAGCGGCAGTGTAAAGTGCAGGGAGAGGAGAGCAGCGTCCTCCCTCCCCAGCGGCAGGCTGAGTTGCAGGGGGCAGAGGTAGTTGTTCCTGCCCTCCAGCAGCAGAGTGATATGCCGGGAAGGCAGTGTAAAGTGCAGGGAGAGGAGAGCAGCGTCCTCCCTCCCCAGCGGCAGGCTGAGTTACAGGGGGCAGAGATAGTTGTTCCTGCCCTCCAGCAGCAGAGTGATATGCCGGGAAGGCAGTGTGAAGTGCAGGGAGAGGAGAGCAGTGTCCTCCCTCCCCAGCGACAGGCTGAGTTACAGGGGGCAGAGGTAGTTGTTCCTGCCCCCCAGCAGCCAAGTGATATGCCGGGAAGGCAGTGTGAAGTCCAGGGAGAGGAGAGCAGTGTCCTCCCTCCCCAGCGGCAGCGTGATTTTCTGGGAATTGGGAGCCCAGTCTCCATTCCCCAGCGGCAGTGTGATGTGCGGGAATTGGGAGCCCAGTCTCCATTCCCCAGCGGCAGTGTTATTTATTGGGAATTGGGAGCCCAGTCTCCAGTCCCCAGTGGCAGAGTATCCAGCAGGGAATAGAGAGCCCAGTCTCCTTTCTCCAGCAGCAGGACTCTGTATTGGGAGGGGAGACAGTCGGTCTCCCTCCACAGAGGTTGGAAGTATGTATGGGAGAGGAACTTGCTACCCCCTCTCCCCAGCGGCAGATTATCAATGTGCAGGGAATAGAGAGCCCAGTCTCCTTTTCCCAGCGGCAGAGTGTTCTATCGGGAGAGGAGCCTGTTACCCCCTCTCCCCAGCCACAGCTTAGTGTACAAGGGGGAGACTGTAAGCCCCACACCTGTGCAGATGGGACCGTGGTCTCTGCACTCCCAGCACAGGGGGTAGGGATGGTCGGTCCTGCCCCCCCACGACAGGGCTGTTTAGCCAAAGGGAAGACAGTCGGTCTACAGCAGCAAAGCTGTGTAACTAAAGGGGAGACAGTCGGTCTCCAGCAGCAGAGCGGTGTATTTAAAGGGGAGACAGTCGGTCTCCAGCAACCAGGCTTCAACCAGACTACTCCCGTGGTAGTGCTGGCATCAGGGCAGAGTACCGCAGGATTCTGCCCACTCTGGGGATATGTGAAATGTCTGTGTGTTATGTGTAAAAGGTGACTTTATGTATTTTAAAGTGTTTTATGTCTTTTTGCAACCATGTGCTCAATGGAGTCTGCCTCTATCCCTGGATAATTGGATTACTTTCCCCATTGTCTCCAGAATAGAGGGTGTAACGGATTGCCTGGCACCCCGACTGGGTACCTCCATTGAAGGATGCTCCTAGCGCTTCCTGAGGACTCCAAGCACTGCAGCAGACACCACAACCACCGAACCGGAGAAGCATATGCATCCTCTCAAGCATGTGAATGCTGTAGACAGTTGAATAGGAACCATACGAATAGGTTTACTCTCCTAGCAGTCAAACTGGAACAGCATACAATAAATCCTTCCCCCAATAATGAGACGACACTTCACTTTGAGGGTTAAAACAGGAACTCCTTGTACTGTCACATACAGTCTCTTTTATTCCCAATCCACAAACATAGTACAGCCCACAGGGCGTTACAAAACAACCAATCAATCCGTACAATACACCCAGACACTCCCACACAAAATCCTCCCCTCTGCATGTGATATGATTACTGAACACAATGGGTAATCTCATTATCACCGGCAGAGGAATACAGTTTTTACACAATATTTATAACTTCTAAAATATACATGTCACAAACATAAAACATACATTTTCATAATCAATCCATTCAGGGGAACAACATATTAAAAAATGGCACGAATCAGACCAGGGGTTCAAAAGTTAAGGGAAAGTCCTTTGTGACTAAATGAAGCATGGCTTTCTGGCCCAAACCAGTTTCAGAGTCTTCTATCCTGGAGATTGAATTGAGAAGTAATTCAATTATCTCCCAGGACAGACACAAGACTCCATTATGCACATGGTGAGCACAAAGCATTAAAATATTATAAAATACACAAAGTCACATTTTATACATAAAACACAGACATGTCACATATCCCCAGATAGCTGGAATCTGAGCGCACAAAACTACCGAATGGGCTCCATGGCATAGCTATCTGGGTTGATACATTCACATAAAGTCTGGTCCATAGTCCAAAGGCAAGAGGCGGGCAAGGAGCCCCCTCCAAGGACACGTGGCGAGGCCGGTTTCGCCACAGAGGGCTCTGTAAAACCTGTTTGAGCCAGATAGCCATGTGCCAGCCACGGCCCAAAAGATACTTTTACTAACTTTTGAACCCCTGGTCTGATTCATGACATTTTTTAATATGTTGTTCCCCTGAATGGATTGATTGTGAATATGTAATTTTATGTGAATGTGATGTATGGTTTTAGAGTTATGAAAGTTGGGTAGAAAGTGTGTTTTAACTGTATGTGTAATTGAGTTTCCTCTCAGGATAAGGGGAGGGAATATGTGGGATGTAAATGATATGTGATTGGTTGTTTTATACCTCCCTGTGGGCGGTCCTGCATTTGAAAAGACTGTAGTAAAAACCAGGCTGGGTGTGCCAGCACCTCAGACCACTGTTTGACCCTCAACATGGAGCCTTGTCTCGTTCTTGGGGGGATTCACTGTATGCTGTTAGAGACTGATTGCCAGGAGTGTAAGCTGATTGTCTGCTTTTCCTGTTCGTCTGCTAGCAGCTATTCGGGAGTTGGAGTGCTATTTTGTATCCAGTTCGGGAGTTTGGTGTTCTGCAGTAGCTGTGCCTGTATCTCTGGAAGGGGAAGATCTCCTAAACGGCTGTTAACCCCTTTTTACCCCTTTTGTGCAAAACGGTCCGTTACAGTATGTTTGTGTGTATTGTTTGGGGGTGGGGGAGCCGTTTAGTTAATATCCCCACACCATTCTTACTTTTGTAGGGAGGGTGGACCGTGCTGTTGCCATCCCTGGTGGTCCAGTGGTGATTGCATCCTGCGGGGCTAGAGTTCGTTCTCACGAGATCTGAGCGTTGAGGGAAAACACTCCGACCTCGCGAGAGGAACCCGGCGGAGCTGCTTGCAAGAGCTCCTCGGGTCCTCTTCTGCCTCCTTCTCTGCCTGTGGGTCGGTGAGGGAGTTCTTTGATCTCCCTCATAGGCCCCTGGAGGGAGGCACATAGCGGCACACCGGGCACACCCTGTACGCACGCCTATATTCACTTTGACTGACCACAACCCACTCATTTGGCTCAACCGAGTCTCTGGAGACAACCCCTGTTTGCTACGCTGGAGCCTGGCCCTGCAGCCCTACAATTTTTACTTTGCAATATCGCCCAGGCAAGCAAAATCGCAATGCGGATGGTCTTTCACGCCAAACGTAACTAAAACTGTAATTGACTTTCCCAGACATCCCCACGCTGACTCGGCAGTGTCTAGGCGGGTATGCCGATCCATGGAACTAATGGGGAGTAATGTGAAGAAAATAGCCCGTCATTCTAAACTTTTATTGCCATTCAAGACTTTTGATGTTTTATTGATTCGTTAGCTGAATGCCATGTGCGAGAGAAAATGGCAGGCATCTTGTTTGCACGAAAGGAGGCAGCGGGACTTGTTCGTCAAGTGTCTGGAACTAAAATCGGACACTCGACTTCCCGAACACCGGTCAAAACATATGATCGCCTGCTTCCTTTTCCCGAACAGCCAGGAGAGCGCTGTTTGGTAGTTTGGTTCCCACAAACCAGGGAAACAATTGCTCCTATGAGCCAGGGGGCTCCGTTTGTGCATTTGTTCATTTTTTTTTACTTTTCGAAATAGACCGACTGCACAGCCTAAATTCATGGAACTGTTT